ATCTGGGATTGTTAACTGTAGGTTTGTACAAGGACAGAGCTGTGTGCAAATAATGAAACTGCACTGTTTGACAGACCATGACGAGTAAAGAAGCTAATCAAGAAGTGGAGATTGCCCGGTGTCACAGAGGGCAGTACTTTGGAGAGCTTGCACTTGTCACCAACAAACCCAGAGCAGCCTCTGCCTATGCTGTTGGGGAGGTCAAATGTTTAGGTAAGCACATGGTCTGTGTTTCTAGTCATCCTTTTCTGTTCTTTGCTTGTCTCATGGGCCATGCTTGAGAAAGCAGCCATTCAAAACCCAGCAACATTTTGGTAACTGGCAGTCATTCCAGAAGCTGGGAGCATGGGCTGGAGGGGAGCTCCAGGTGGAAGCTGGAGAAGCACTGCTGCTTCCTCATGGCCGATTTTCTATTTTCTGTGTGTGTGGCCTGTACTGGTTTGTCACACATAGCCTTCAGGTCATCTTTTAATACCACTGTGCAGGTGTACTTTCTGTGTTTATCCTTGAGATCAGGTTTATATTTCATTCATCTTGCTTCACCAAATAACAGTACAGAGAGAAATTGGAAACATGATTTCTGTTTCTGTGGTTACTTTTGAAGCCTGCCTCAGCCCTAAGTGGGTTGAACTGAAGGTCTGTGTTCTGAGTTCAAAGACCAGATTGGTATTTGGTGTCCTTTTTGACAAACAGTCTCGTTTCACCTCTGTTCCATTACAGTCATGGATGTGCAAGCATTTGAGAGGTTGCTTGGACCCTGCATGGACATTATGAAGAGGAATATAACACATTACGAGGAGCAGCTGGTGGCAATGTTTGGCTCTAGCATGGACCTGATGGATCCAGGGAATTAGGCACAGGGTACCTCAATGCCTTCTTAGTTCAAGACACAGAAAAGCCTCCTATCAGCAACACAACTCACAAGGACAACGGACACTACGGAACAGTTACTGCTGCTGTTTTCTTGGGCATTTTAGAAACCATAAACAAGTCTCAGCACAGATGGATTGCTCACTCCTCCCTGCCTCCACTTTGCTGCTGATACTTCATTATTAGACCTAGATTAAAGATGATTCTAACCCTATGTTCACTTACTTGGTTCAGAATGGCGTCTGTCCAGCAGTTCAAGTGCCTGATACGAAACCCAAAGTGTGCAAGACATTGAAGCCTCCTTCCTTCTGGGTGTCACTGTTGGGGTAAATTGTCCCATCAGATTCTGTAGTGGGAGGTTGCCTGTTCTGCAGAGGCAGCCTGTGGAATATAAGCCTTTTATGGGCTGATTACTTTCATCTGATGCTTTCCTTACACAATGTCAAATTTGCTTTTAATTGTAGCATCTGGGTTTGAAGTTAAAGTATCAATGGAGCCAGTGAATAAGATGGCACTGAAGTTTTGGTTCACCTGCTGAAAGCAGCAGGTAATAAATACAGAGAACTCTTTAAACCAAGTAAACTGAGCTGGGGACATGGGAGAGTCTGCTTAGCAACCAGATGCAGAAAACATATTTCAAGTGTTTTCTGAGCAGCAAAGAAAATTGGTTTACTCTATGCTGTCCAACAAAGTGCAGTGGTTCAGATCAAATGGCCTGAAAGTGTCATAATTGTCATCTCCCCAAATTTGCTCCTCGTTCCTGACACTGAGTACATTTTATGGTGGTGAGATAACAATATATGACCTTCTCTTACTTACAAAGATCCTTTATACTGCTACATTTCCCAGGGTGCAGTTGTTGACTGGGTTAGTTTTAAAGCTTTTTAAGGAGGTGAATGTTTTGTAATTTAAATGAAGACTACTTCTGTACTTGTTTACAGGAGCTTCCCCTAGTCCTAACATTTCACAGTATTTTAACTTCATTAGACACTTGAATGCTTCCAAATACCACATTGATTTGCTAAACTTTTCAAAAGTTGGCAGCATTTGACTTTGTAAAGCAAATGTCTTTGCTAACTGCGCAGTTGGTGTGTTTGAGGAGTCTTTTGGTTTAGGTGATAACTAAGCTAATGATGTTTATATAAAATACCTGTTAAATTTGCAGCATTTATTAGGTAGATTCTGTTTCTATAGCTTTAAGGACCTTAATTGGCATATGGCTGAGATTTTATCAGGGTATTATCTAAATAAGAATCAGACCATGAGAAGGACATTTTTATGGTGTTCAAACTGACTATATATATTAAGACATTGAATTTGGAGGTAATAAATCTAGTGACCCTTTGAGTTTGCATTCTTCCACAGCTCATGCAAAACATATTGGTGTTTTATGGGGTTATAAAATTTTAATAGTGAATACTAGTGTAACAGAACTTGCTCTTTTTATTCATGGCCATGTAAGCAAGAATGGAAGGATGCTAATCTTGAATTCCTGCTTTTAGTTATCACAGTGGACATTTCTCTAAGGCATGAGATGCTTAGCAGCAACTCTAAGTTGATTTCTGGACAGTTTTTTCCCCATAGTGGATGAGCTCCTCCCATTTCCTGCAATATGAGTAAGATGGAAAGTTGATAAATTTGAATGACTGTTGTCCAGTTACTGTAATTGCAGTCATATTTTTATATAATGCAAATGATTTGTAATGGACACCACTGAACTTGGTGTTTCCATATTATTAAAGTTCTGGTCGTGATGTCTACTGGCTGTTCTAACTGCATGTATTTTAGAACAGTGAATTTCACTGCTTTCCTGGGCTGTTTCTTTGTCATAAATTACAGCCAAAGAAGCAGCAGGTACTTTTCACTCATGCTTCCAAGGTTTAACACCAAAGAGGAAAATAATTGTTTTCATCACAGAATTTAAAAACCAAACAAAACCCAAATCTTCTTGTTGGTTTCAACAAGAAAAAAAAAAAAAAAAGAAAAAAACCCCACTCATCAGCTCCTTGCAGTGATAGCAGGTATAACTTTAAGATACTTTGGGCTCCATGACAAAGAGAATTTCTGAAGCCAGCTCATGACTGTCCTGAACTGTGAACCAAACAGGAACTGGTCTCTGAACCAGCCTGAATTTCTGTGCTGCCTAAACTGTCATGTGAGCTAAAGAGAAACTTGCTGTGAATAATCACCAGCTGGCCTTTGTTGCTCCCAGGCAGAATATCCTCTCCTTTATCCAGAGAAGCCTGGCAGGTTGAGCTGCCTTACAGATGGATTCTGTAATGCCTTTTGTTCTGTGCAGGACAGGACTGTAACCTCAGCACAGGCAAACACAGGCAGTTGTTCCAAAGCTTAACTGAAACCCAGGCAAGGCTGATGTCAGATTCTTGAGACATTTCTGCCTCGAAGGCAGAATTTGATGGTTTCTAAAAGTCAAAGGAAAAGACAAGAATATAAAATCAAAATATTGCGATCCCACGTGAACAAGAACAAGCTTTTGAAGTTTTACCTTTCTCTGGGCTCCCTGGACCAATGGCATACTGGGCAATGCCATCCTGCATCCAGGGTCTGTGCAGCATCATTCTGTGGTGCAGAGGCAGCTGGCTTTGAGCTGAAAGAGAATCAGCTGCTAAGAAGGCTCATCCATTTAAGAACTATAATGTGTGCCATGTGCCTGATTAGTTCTGTCTAGTTCAACCAACCTGTTTGTACAGTTTTGGAGCATGAAGGTAGTGGAAAGAAAGCTGCTTTAGTAAGATACTCAATATTGCCAGGAATCTGGTTAGAGCACCAGCAGTGAGCAAAAGTGGGTGATGTGCAAGTGCTGATACTGAGTCCAGGGAGCAAGGACAGCACCTGTTTGTGACCATCTGCCCCATCCCTGTATCTCAGCTCCTTCCTTTGCACTCTGCTCATTGCAGCTGTTGCCATGGAGTAAGCCCAGGTGTTTTGTTACTGCTCAGTGTTCAGTACATCTGCCACTGACTCTCTGAAATTGGCACTGAAGAGAGATTTAGTTTTTGATAAAAGAATGCAGCAGCAAAGTGGGCACAGAGGATCATGTTTGCGAGGCTTAGAGGGAGACATCTCCCATTTGTGATTCCCTGCTTGTGATTGTTGTGAAGTCAGTGGTTAAATATCCTGGCACTTGGTATTTCTGTCTAATGTCACAGCACAGGTTCGACAATGTAAAAGAACAAAAAAGTGTGGAAGTGCTTCCTTCTTAGAAACAAAAGTGCAAAACTTAAAATAAAACTTTGAAAACAAAGTGCAATTTTGCACAGAGGGCAAAAAAACCCTGAAACCCCTTTGAATGTCACTTCCATTCTTTCTTTTGCTGAAAGCAGACTCTTGTTCTTGACTTGTATTTGTAAACTAGTCTTGCCAAAATACACGTTGGGTTTTTTCACTTCAGATAATTTTTGTTGTTACAGTCGTTGCTGATCATTTTAACTTTTTTCAAACCATAAATTTTATTTCAAGAGGCCTTCCCTGTGGATTTCCTCCTGGCGCTCTGCAGCACTACACTGCTCTTTCAAGAGGCAAGAGAAGGTCACCTCACAGGAGACACTCAACACAGCTTAGCTGGCTGGAGCTAATAATGCGCTACTAATTTTCCTCTGTGGGGCAGGAGGGGAATTAAATTCTGCATAAAGTTGCTACCTCAAGGCTCCAAGTGCTTTTAAAGGTCTTTCACTTGGGAGAATTTAAATAGTTCTTAAAATTGGTCTGTTCTTTTGAGTTAAATGGGTTTTTTTTTTTAATTGATTCATTGAGGGACCCTTATTTTAATTCGTTTTACTACTTGATTCTCAAAGGATGAACAGCTGCAAAGTTCGGTTCTTGCACTGTAGTGTTGAACATGAAAGAAAAATATCTGCCATATAAACATATGGTTTTAACAAGTTAAACCACTCTGGGGTTCAGCTTCACTTTTGGTTAATAAAAAACTGACCTGTTGTGTCCAGCCTTCCTGTACAGTCCTGTGTGTGCTCGTTATTGACTCGCTGCAGCTGACACAACCCCAGCCTTACAGCAGCTCCTGGATACACTGGGAATGCCTGAGTCTCACGGAGAGCAGCACCTGCCCTACAGCAGTAACAAAAATAGATTTTATACAGCACCTGACCTCCAAGTTTTGCTGCTAAGTGATGAAATTTTACTAATATCTTAACAGTAATACAGACTTGTGTAGGTAGCGTTGGTCCCAGTAAAACTGGCTGCTCTGGTAAGTCTGCCAAATTATTGTGGAACTGATTTACTGAGCACTACACAAACTGGTTCTCAGTTCCCAGGAGAAACACAGTATTCCTGAAGGTATCTTGTTAGCCTACACTTAGAGCTCCTGAATTTTATGTGGCAAACTGCCTTTTCTTTAACCTAACTAACAATCTGAAAATTACTTTGGTACACGTGAAATTATATTTGCTTTTGCTGAAGTTTTGTTTCTGAACATTTGGCAGTTTATGTGCCATTTTTAAGGCAGCCCAGGAGCGGAGCTCAGGTGGATTGTGGTGCTGAGCTGCTGGAATCATGCAGGACCTTTGCACAGACTGGGTGTGTGAAGGTGCAGGCAAGAGCTGTGAGCTGGGCCTTGCCTGGAGCATGTGGGATGCACCTTGGGCTGCTCCTGCAGCGTTACCCTGCTGGGCTCGATGCGAATTCCTGGATAAACCTGGCAAAAGAAGGAAGGTTCTGTAAAATTCTTTTGAGGATAATGGTTAATTATTTCAGCAGAGCAAACGTGCTTCCATCCTTTCTGCTCTTTCTGTGGTAAGGATACATTTCATGCCAGCAGGTTCAAGATACTAAAATTGTGTTATTTTACCGTCTCCATCACTGTTGACTGGAGGGTGCAAAGACAGGCTGCCGGGCTCGTTCTGTGCGCTTCTCCAATTCGTTTCAGCTGTCTGTCCCTACAAAACTGAGGCTGGGGCAGCGGAGTCTCCTCAGCGTTTGTAACGCGGTGCCGGGCGCGGCCCCTCGCTCGGGGGAGCAGCGCAGGAGCGTTCAGCGTCCGCCTGCTCCGTGTTGATCAAGGCTCGCGTGCCGCACTTGGTCTGTTCCCGCCGCTTCCCAGAGATTCGTCAGATTCCTCTCAGCCTCCGACACTGCTCTGGCTCTCCTCCCTCCGCAGGGCTGCGCTCGTGTATTCTGGCTCGGTGCTGCGGGCCCGGCCCGGGCCATGGCGACACGGGAGGCGCCGCGCGGTTTCCATGGCGACGCTGACCCCGCGCGGCCGCCGTAGAAGGGGGGGGCGGCGCGCGCGGCCCGGGGAATGGCGGCGGCCGCGTTCGAGCGGCGCGTGCTGCGGCGGGCGGCCGAGCATCACTATCTGCGCGTGCGCCTGTGAGCGGCACCCCCGCGAGCCGGGATCCCCCCGAGCCGGGACCCCCCCCGAGCCGGGACCCCCGAGCCGGGACCCCCCCCGAGCCGGGACCCCCGAGCCTCCCTCAGAACCCTCCTGACCCCTGTGCTCTCCTTCCCGCAGGGAGCTGCCCGACGGCGGGGCCCGGCCGAACGCCGCGCAGTTCAAGCAGCTGGTGGTGACCGCGCTGAGGGAGCTGCACGGAGAGGTGGGACCGGCACCGCGGTGCGTCCTCCGGGCTGCGCCGGGAGAGCCTTGCGGAGCGGGCAGCTTTCCCCTGGAGCAGCCGCTGCGGCTGAGGAGCAGGGTCCGAGCGGGGCAGGCTGCATGGGCTGGGCTGGGCTGGGCCGAGCCGCCCGTTCCCCGCTCGCCAGCCCCGTCCTGACTCGCTCCCGGTGAAGCCGTGCGGTTCGGTTCGGTGGCTCCGGCCGTCCCTAGCGGCGCTCAGGGTCGGGTTGGACCGGGCTTGGAGCCTGCTCTAGTGGAAGGTGTCTCCGACCGCGGCAGCGGGGCTGGAGCTGGATGGACTCTCTAAGGTCCCTTCCTGCTCAAACATGAGAATTGTTTTTAGAATTTGGGGTATTGATGCTTTTGCTGTAGTGAGGCTTTTAAAAGAGAACTGTGGGAAGGGAACAGCTTTTTGGATGGGGAAGTCCGCAGCACTGGGTTTACTCTGTTTACTTTGCTGGCTGACTTCAAGCAGATCACATCACCTCTTGGTCTGTGTTTTCTCTGTCTGAAATGTGTAAATAAAAGTGGTTTCTAAAGAACTCTGAGAGCAAGGGTGCTGTTTAAAATCTAGTGATGTTGTAACTGAAACACTTGTGTGAGATTAGAGCGTAACTATAACACTTTTAGTGATGTAACGTGCTGGGCCTGAAATCAGTTGCTTACAAACCACGATAAGAACATAGGGTGATACTTACTAAATAACTTTTTTTTTTTTCATAGGCTGGAGCAGCTTTGCCTTTTGATGTCTTAACATATGAGGAAAAAACACTGTCTGCCATATTAAGAGTAATTAGCAGGTAAGGTGCAGTCAATCTGTGCTCCCATTCCATGAAAATATTTTTCATAAGAAAATAGAACTCTTAAACTAAGAATGGCCTGTGTAGAATTAAGCCTAACTTGCAGATCTTTGCATACAGCATGCAGAAAATAATCACTGAGGCTTGGTAACTTGGTGCATCAGTACATTATTCCTGCTTTAAACCAGAACTATTTTAATGGTTTTAAGACAGGAAGTAGGCATTACTGAGGTAGTGACTTTAAATCTCTTTCTGTAGTAAAGATGAGAACAGTTACTCTAAATGGACGATAACTGCAGGTGATTTAGGTGAAGAAGGAGCTTAAATGCACACTGAGAGCAAGAACAGTTCTGGTAAAGTGAGCTTGAGGTTGCCATACACACCTCTGTGTCAAAGAGAAGAGACTGCAGCCACTGCAATAATCCTTCAAGATGCAGTTTTGCTGCTAGAACTCTGCTGTTAAACTGTAAAGGGTTCATTACTCTTTGCATAACATACTTTCTGTTTGAGATGTCTGTGCTGCAGGAAAAACAGAAACCCCCAAATTTTATTGATAGATCTTGTTTTCTTTTTATCTAGTGGCCTTGTCAAGCTGTGGAGTGCTCTAACCTTGCTGGGCTTCTACCAGAGCAGGAGGTGTGCCTTCCGGGTGCTGCAGGTAAAGCCCTGTGGGGCTGGGTGCTTCCCCAGGTGTCAGCTCTGGCTCTGAGCTTGGCAGGCTGCCCAAGCCTACTGCCTTGTCATAGAAAGATGGCCTAGATGCAAAAATGCCTTGCTTTGGGAATGAAGTGCCTTTCAGTGCAGGTGTGTGGGCCCGTGTTTGAGCAGTTCTCATCTTAAAATGAGTCTTGTGCAGTGTGACAGTAGTGGCTATCTCATAACTTCATGGTTCAGCCCAGTGACAAGTCCTGATGTCATTTATACATCTGCAAGAAAATAATTTCTGGCAAGTGTTGTTCATGACCCACATCTTGGTCCAGGTCCCATTTTCCCTACTCCACTTTCTGCCTTTCTAATGGTTACTGTCAACTGACCTTGTTTAACAATGCATGATGAACATGCACTTCCAGAGCTTATTTTTTCCCAGAGGATGCTGCTTAATAAAATGAGTTCTGAGAATTCTTTGTTTCTGAAGCCATGGCTTGACAAAAGTCTACTCAGGCATAGCTCTAAGTTTTAAACCTGTCATGTGAAAGGAAAATTGAAGTATTTCCAACTTTGGGAGCATTTGATGGTGGGTTTTTTTCAGGCTTCAGTTGTTCAGTTCTTACTTGTTTTTTCTTTCCCCAAACCAGACATCTCCATTTCTACTTGCGTTATCCGGCAACAGCAGAGAATTAGTCTTGGACTGAATGCAGTTGTTGGTTCAGCTGCACACAGGAGAAGTTCCTGGAAATGTTGTGGCCCTTCAGGCATGGAATTTCTGGAGGGATTTTCCAACAAGGAGCCCTGACAAAGCCAACGTTTTTCAACTCACTGCTTGGACATCCTGTATTTCAGAACTTACACATAAAAGTTGGAGACAAAGCTGAACTCAGCAAAGCTTTTACACAGAATGATGTAGTTACTTTTTCTTATTTAACAGGTGACACAAATCCTTTGCATTTAAATGAAGAGTTTGCAAAGAAATCTAGGTTTGGGAGAACTGTGGTCCATGGAGTTCTGATCAATGGACTTATTTCTGCAGTTCTGGGTACCAAAATGCCTGGTCAAGGATGTATATTTCTTTCCCAGGAGATTCGTTTTCCAGCTCCTTTGTATGTTGGTGAAGAAGTCACAGCTGCAGCAGAAGTGAAACGACTGAAGGGTTCTGTTGCACACATTTCTGTATCATGTCAGGTCAGAGAAAGTGGGAAAACTGTTATGGAAGGGATGGTGAAAGTCATGGTGCCAGAGGGTTAGAGCTGTTCATCATGTTTGGTTTGGAGTCTCTTTTTATGTGACATCACTAAAACCAGTAAATTTGCAATAAAAGCCTTTCAGAATGTCTGAAAGTGCACAAACTTAACCTTACTAGAATTGCATTAAAATTAGAGCTTTTCCTTTTTATACCGTGATGGGTTTCTCTGCCAAGGTGAACCAGGCACTTGCTGTGACAAAGTGGCACGTTCAGACAAGCCTTTGTGCTGCCACAGTGGGAAGTTTGGACTGGTGGGGCTCACACTGAGGCTGTTCTTTCTGGTAGAATTGCAGTCCACACCAGCAAAGTTCAGTTGAAACTTGTTCCTTCTGTACAAAGCAGCTGTGTTTGCCAGCAAGCACCAGGGCAGGGGACAGTGCTGTGGTGAAGAGTGGAGCAGAAGAGGAGGTGCTGACACACATGTACTGCAAGATGTGTTGTAATCTGCATGGCAGCTCCAGCTGGTGTTTCTTCTGAAACTTGCCTCCACAAAGAGAGTGAAGGAGGCTTAAAAATATATATATATTGTCACAACTTGTACTTACTGTATTTGTGCTCCTGAGGGCAAGACAAGCAAGGGCAGATAATTTCAGTACTAACTGTATGGCTTCTCTCTCTGAGTGTGTGAACATGGATTTCCCTTTGTCCACTGTAAGTACCTTGGTAGAGTAGACTTCTGGCAAATTCATTAGTAAATCATCTAGGTCAAATTATTTTAGTACTGGCATAAGATTGTTATACACTTAGGAACTTCTTTTAGGAAGGATTGAGGCCATCAGGAGTAGGGTCTCCAGTTGGTGGCTCATAGAACTTTCTGGCAGTGTCTATTATCCTCCCATCTTCTCTGCAGCAGAAATGCATTTGAAACTTCCTTGACTGCAAATAACTTCTGAAGTTGTCTGCTGAGAAAAGAGAGTTTCTCCTCAACCTGTGATGAAAGCTACTGGTGAAACAGCTGCCCTGCCAGAGTGTGCTGCACTCTAACCCCTGGGTTAGTCACACTGGAGCAGAGGGAGGGGTAATGTTTCAGGTGTTTGACTCCATGCCTTCTCTTTCCAAAGCTTGGAGTTTGGCCTGTTTGCAACCTGGAAGCAGTAGTTAGGAGGAGTTTTCCTTCTCTCTTGTCTATAGGAGCTATTTCACTTCATGTTTCCTTTCCTTCTGCCTCAGGTCACTGCCTGTCACTGGCTTTTGCTGGACAAAGCACTTGATCGAAGCAGTGCTTACCCCTCCTTACCCTGCTCCCTGTTCACCTGCCTCTCCAGGTGGGAAGTTGTCTTGTTAAGCCTATTAACAAAATGGATCAGATCTGTTCCTGACCTCCTGGCTCACTGCAGGAGTAGTAGTTTAGAGAGTTGGGGTTGCTGTTCCAGCCTGGCTGCTGGACCACAGCAACACAGCCCATTTTCCTCTCATCATGGAGCTGCGAGACAGAGAGGTTCAGCTGTCCACGACACCTGCTCCAGGCGTATAGCAGACTCCAGCTCTGCAGTCTTACAACATCTTAAGTGAGAGTAATTCCTGTGTATGGTGTAAAAAGAGGAAATGCAGACAGGTGCCCAACTTGTTGGTTCTCAAGCACTAAGTCCTATGCAAATAGAAAGTTTATTATGCTGCTGCAATCAAAGTCACATTGAGGAATTCAATTGTTAACAACTTTAAATCTGTGTTTTGAAAAACAACCAAACCAGAAACCAAAACCCCACAAAAGATCAACTCCAACCCTAAATTCTAGAAATTGAGTAAAATATACAGGATATTCTGATTATTTTATTAATACAAAACACCCTGAGAGGTAAAGAGCAGCAAGTGGCCTTATAATTTTCCTGGTCTCTTTGGTTGGACCAGCAGTGTCCTGGGGCTGATTCCCCCGGGGCTGCAGCTTCTATTACCGCTGTCGGTGCTACCGGCACCGGGCACGGAAGGCTTGGGCGGCGGGGCGACTCGCCTGCACTCATGGCCTCCCTCCAGCCCCTTTCCCCGCTATTGCCCGCGGAGACGAACCTCGCGTCCCCCATCCCGGCCGTGTCCCCATCTCTCCGTGTCCCCATCTCTCCGTGTCCCCTATCCCAGCCGTGTCCTCTGTCCCTCCCCTATCCCAGCCGTGTCCCCATCCCGCCGTGTCCCCATCTCTCCGTGTCCCCGTCCCTCCCGCGCTCCCGGGGCGGGACCCGCGCGGAGCGGCAGCCGCGGCGCCCCCTTGCGGCGGGCGGCGGCAGCGGCGGCGCTAAGGCCCCGCGGCGGCGGCGGCGCTGCCGTGTTGACAGCGGCGGCCGCGCCGGGAGCTGCCCCGGGAAGCGGGTTGGCGGCGCCGGTTCTCCGCTCCCAGCTCCGCTATGGCCTTCATGGAGAAGCCGCCGGCCGGCAAGGTTCTGCTGGACGACACGGTGCCGCTGACAGCGCAGATCGAGGCGAGCCAGAGCCTGCACTCGCACACGGTGAGCGGGGCAGGCCGGGCCGCGGGGGCAGGCGGGAGCGGCCGGGGCGGGGGAGGGAATGGAGGGAGCCGGTAACGGGGGGCGCCGGGGGTGCTCGGGGTCCGCGGG